CTAGTACTGTAGCACCTTACCTCAGGGAGTGATTATGCCCCCAGATTCTGCAAATAATTCAGCTGGGGTCAGAGGCAAGGGGTTTACTTAGCAACTTTGGGACTGGGATATGCATTAGGAACTTCCAGGCCTGGCCAAGAACACTCTTCTCTGATCACTGTCACCCCACCCCAGCCAATCCCCAAGTGGACATGGTGCAACAGGCCCTCCCAAGCAGGAGGTCCCCATCCACACTCTGGAGTACCTGGTTGGGAAGAGCAGCCTATCAGGTCCTTGCAGAGCTCACCTGGATGGCTCACAGGGTAGAGCACCTTGGTTCAGCACAGACACTCTCATCTGTTCCTGCCAGGTGGCCCAGCCAGCAAGACTGGGCATGGAGCTGCCACTGGTCCTGCAGGCCCTGAGGCATTTTCTCTTCATAGTCCTTTCCCCACCATACACCATACAACCCAACCTCATGGCTTGCCAAGGTGCTCTGGAAATTCTCTACATCCCTATCTACAGTTTACAAGGTCTGTTAGGAGGAGAAAAAGTGGGGTAAATACCAGGCTCATCAGCCATGAGGACTGTGAGCTAAACGGTGGGAAAGGTTCACTGTAGATGGGTCATCTTGAGCACAGACCTTTTCAACCATGTAATCTTCAGAGGGCAAGAGAGTGAGCTGTGTTTTAGAGAATCACCAGCCCTCTTTTGAGGGCAGTGTGCTGCCACACAGTCCTTTACTGGACTTCAAAAAATTGGTCACAACTACAGTCAATAAAATGGGATTGAAAGGGATACTTTCATCTCTTTTGAAACAACATGAAGATATCAGATAAAGGTACTCATGTCTTGTGTTAAATCAGAGTTGAGACAAAGCCAGCATGGGCCAGCTGTCCTCAGAGAGGGGCACAAACTGCCAGCCCCATAATCTCAGAACTAGTGTAGGGATGACCTGCAGGAAGCCCAAGCCCATGGGCCTCTATCAAGTCTGCCACTCTCCAAAATGCCGGGGGAGAGTGTGGGTTCCAGCACAGAGGAGACAGCCTCACTGGAGACCAAAGATTTATCATGCTTTCTGGTCCTCAGTGCTAGGTTGTAGCTTCCGAGTTTCAGGGCTTGTCCTGAACAAGGATCACTGTAAGATCCAAAGACACTCCCTGTTCTGCCTTTCCTTCCCTCCAGGGAGCAGATGTCCTGTGGCATGTCCTTGGCCACCATCACTGTCTGTAGTTGGGTGACTCTGTCCACTGTGGTGTCTGCTTCCCATGTAAGTGGGAAGAGGAACTCTGTAGATGGAAGTAAGATTACCAACATGAAAATGATCAACTGGGACTGTCTTAGACCAGCTTAGTGGGCCCAGACTACTCTCATGAGCACTTGAATATTGGAAACTTTCCCACCTAGGAAGGCCAAAGGAGGGCAGAAAGATTTGAAGAGGGAAATAGCCAAGTGGGAAGAAATTTATATAGGAATATGAACATTTAAGAGTTTCATCACCAGAAGACCTCAGAGTAAATTTACCAGATAACTTTGCAACTGTGATACTGGTATAAACTGAGACATATTACCAACAGTCTGTTCATTTAATAATAGTTGAGGGATTTAAATTTCTAAATTTAAATTTCTGAATGATTTGTGTATAAAAATCAGAAGAGATGTGAGACATAGAGAAACCTCTTTGTGTCATTTGCTGTCACCCTCTTGGGTTTTTGTGTGGGAGTTAAAGAGCTGGTGTGCCAGGCAATGCACACTCATGGGCCAGACAGGGGATGAAGGGCACTACTTTGGTGTGATGAGCAGATGTGGAGTCTGTTGGTCTCAGGAGGGAAGGTGCACAGGATGTGCCCCTGAATCTAGGAGGCTGCAGCTGGTTGGAGGAATCATTGGTTCATTTATCCCCAGAAAGAAACAAGACTTTCATGTGAGTGAGGCACCCCTTGACTTCAGAGATAGGAAGTGTGAAAAATGTATGTAAACTGAAGAAGGTAACTAACTAGTGCATGCGACGTGTTGTAACAGAGTTAGGCCAACAGCAAATGGAGCCTCCAACTTATGCTTCTGTGGCAACACTGAGGCACTAAACCTTCACCATGCAAGCTGATGGCCTTATCTACATCATTACCAGGTTAGGGATGTGGAAACTGAGGCCAACAGCAAAAACATTTGTTCAGGTTATTGGTGAAGTCAGAAGTTGATGCCAAAATCTACACCATTATACCTTATGTCATGCACCCCTCTGGCATGCTCCAAATGTTATAGTGCACAAAAGAGAGTATCAGAGAGGTGACATCTGAGAGGGTCTTGAGGGGCAAAACGCTACTCCTCTTCAACAGCTGATGTGATCTAAGGCAGAAGGGCAGTGCCATGTGCACTGCCATGTGCATGATTTTTCTCTGGCCAGCCTCCCAGAGAAGGTCCTGGCAGGGCTGGATGCCAGCAGCATGGCAGAGGGAGAATGGTTGGAGCACCTTAAATCAGGGAGGTCACTTCAAAAAGGCTGTTACTAAGCAGCTCCACTTTGGATGACTGGTACAGTATCCCTCAGGGTAACTTGGGAACCAGTGCAGAACATACCCAAACACATCCCCACCCAGGGAGCAAGGAGCTTAGGTGTGTGTTTGCCAGCTCCCACCAGACAATGTCCAAGGGCTGCTCCTGGGATGAGGGTTCTCTGTATTTTCTGTCTGCCATGGTAGCCAAAGTTGGTTCCAGGGGCTGGAGGACACCTCCAGGAAGGAGGTAGAGGACACAGGGAGAAGTTGTGCTCTGAAGCAGGGAGGCCAAGGGACATGTTGTGACACTGTCTTGTTGCATCCAGGAAACACAGCAGTGAGTGTTTCACATCGAGAGGGCAGAGGAGTTAGTCAGGAGGAGGTCTGTGAGAGAGCTACACAATACACAGCTGAGTGTAGTGAGGTGGTGAGGACAGAGACCCCAGGCCCTGGAGCCACAGACCCTGGGGAGTGGGCACCACACTTCCTGGATCATAGCTTAGGGCTACTGTTCAAATCGCAGGAACTGAGCAATGTTGTAGGGAAGGTGACAGGTAGAATAAACAGCTATAGTCAGTCTGTCTTGTCTCATCAGTGTGAAATAAAAGTAATTGGGAGCCAATTTGTTTTTATTTTCTTTCATCTGCATGTTCACATCCATAGCTCTTTTCCCAGTTCCACCAGTGACAACCTTGTGAGATTGGCTCTGTTTCCAGAGGATGCTTCTGAGGAGTCTGGGCACAGGGTGATAATCTCACTCAAATCCCTTGGATTGACAGAGACACTCTCTTCAGGGCTTTTCCAGTGTGATCCGATCACAATATTTCACATGTCGCGGCAGATTCTTATGAACAAAAGGGGACTTAAATCAACATCATAAGAACGGAACTGTGTTTGTGTGCCTTTAAAAGTCAGAACACACAGATGAAAACTGCAAAACACAGAAAAAATCTGCCTTGTAATTCGGATACTAATGCAAGACCAAGGTTTGTATGATAGATTTAAATACTTGAGAGAGGAATTCTGATTGAAACAAATACTCTAGTTTATAGGGAGATAAATTTCCTCTCTTGTTTAAATTATCTTAAAGTATTTTAACACAACATAGTCCTGTCTACTAGAGATTTACACATCACAAATTTTAATTTTGGTTCAATCTATAATGTGGTGTGTTCATATAGCTGTACATTAACCTTGAAGAAAAGTCTCTGGAGAGAATGGGATGTGGTATTTACATCCACAGCCAAAGTGCAGCAAGAAGAGAAGAGGTGGTGACAGAAGCAGTTTGAGGCCCAAGTGTGGAACCAGCAGTGATTCTGACCCCATGCTGTTTCTCAACCACTTTCTCCATTCTTACCTATCTTTTAGAGGGACTGAGGGTTGTGTGACATTGCCAGTAGCATGGTCACACTGGGGACACAAAGCCACTTCCTAAGATCCAGGGGAATGTTACAATGCTTAAGGCAACTGGCTTTTATGGAGAACCCCTTGGTGCTCTTGGTAATTTCATAGAAAAGTACAAGTTTTTACTTTTTCTTGTTTTGCAGAGTGGCAAACTGCAAAATGTAATATTGGAAGATCTATTGTTCTCTGAAGGATTTCTTCCAATTGGATCTTTCCTATTCTCAATTCCCATTCCTTCAGGAAGGGAGATGCAGCAGGAATTCTCCTTCCTGGAATCAACCTATGTGGCAATTTGATCATGGGCCACCAGGACTCTAATCACAGCCACTTAGGAAAAAATGCATGATTATGACTAGAACTGGAGGAATAAAAATGAAGGCACATGACTCCCAACTTAACACAATCTTTTCAAAATCTGATAAAAAATTTTAAGGTTTCCTCAGCCACTGGACAAAGCATGCTTCCTGACCACTGTTATTTTCCAGCATTGAGAACTGGGCAACTCATGTGTGCTCAATCTTATCTCCTGTTCCTATTTCTAGGTGACTACTTAGCCCATTTTTAGAATGCAGTTCTTTTCTCACTTTTCAATTTAACCAAAAGTAACATCCAATAATTTAAGCTTTCTTCTGGGTCAAAAATAAATAGCAATAATAAAACAACTTCTGAACACAGATTGTAACAGCCAGAAAGGGTCAGGGAGAAGCAAGTGGCAGAAAGGGCTGACTAGGCAGGCAGTTTCTATGATGAACTTTGCCTCCTTCCCAAGCTTCAGGATTGGACATGTTCAGAAGAACTTTTCATAGAAATACTAGGAATATCCTCCCTGTGGATTTAATGAATTCACATTCTTGGAAAAAGAATAGGAAGATAATTTTAACCATAAATTGGTGAGATATAGGACTGCTGTTTTGTGGTCCAAAAGTGTTGGGGTTGGGATGCTATCTGAGGATACTAACAATGTCTTTTTCTTGTTTGAGTATTTACCTATGATAGAAAGGAAGGCCTTGGCCCTGGCTGGCTCAAAAGCACTCCCCTGAAGTGTCACCTCACAAACGTACAGCCCTGTGTCTGCAGAGTTTGAGTTGGAGATGGTGAGGTGTCTCCCGAAGCTGTGGAGCCCACTGGTCAATCTCACACCATTTCTCTTCCAGTGCACACTCAGCTCTTCCACAAGCCTGCAAGAACAATGACATTGGTGACAATGATTGTGAATCATGTAGATGCCAATAATAATATTTTCAGGCATTCAGCACGAGCTTGATAAAGCTAATTCTAGCAGGAACCATGGTGGGTTGAACAACAGGCATTTAAAAATCAATCCAGATATAGCTCTACTCTCTCACGGTAAGTATCACCAACATGTTCTGGTCAAGGACTATTGAGGAAGGATAGCTAATTGCAGCAGCAATGGACCATAAGTGATACTGATTCCATTTTCTCATGAAAAGAAAGTTTAAAACAAATACTTCTAGGGGACACTACAGCTACGTGGGAGGTGTGACCATTTGAACTCCATTCTGGAGTGACCAGAAGCAAGTAGAGAATACTTAGGACTACAGAGTGGGAGAAGGATTGACCTTTTTCCTTTACTACCAAGAGCCTTGCTCCTTTCTCTTTCCCAGCTAGCACCACATATCAGGCCCTTCACCATCACCTACAGCTAAAGTGAAAGGCATCACCCAATGAAGGAGGAAACTCAGGGAGTGGTGCAACGCGGTGCATAGGAAAACAAGTAAGCTGCTGCTGCTGGAAGAGAAGAGCTCATGTGCCACTCTTCCTGCTGTGAGCTCCTCCCAGGGAGTATTTATTAGTACAGGTTCAGCATCCCTTAGCCAAAATGCTGGGGACCACAAGTATTTTGTATTTTGTAATATTTTGTTTTGGAATATTTGCACATACATAATAAGATATCTTGGGAATGGGACTCATATCTAAAGATGAAATTCATTTAAGGTTCATCTACATTTCACATACATAGCCTGAAGGGGTCTCTGTGCAATGTTTTTAGTGCCTGTGTTTTCATTGTGACCCATCACATGAGGTTAGTGGTACAATTTTTCCTGTGTGACACCATGTTAATTCTCTAAAGGTTCAGACTTTGGAGCATTTCAAATTTCAGGTTTTCAGATGACGGGTGTTCAACTGATGTGGCCACATGTAGAGCATGACTGTACCTGGCACTGGCTATGCACTCCAAGGTGGTCTCACTGGACCCAGTTACCACGTTTCTATTGCCTGGGGTAACCACAATGATGGGTGCCATGGCTTCAGGTGTACCAGTATCTCCTGTGGCTGAGAAAAGAAAAAAAAATCCATGGAACTCTCCTCAGAATGGAAGATGAGATGATGGCAATATGACAGATGTAGGATCTTGTCAAGTCATGTTGATAGGAAACCCAGAATCTCCTGGCCTGCTAGAACTCCCTCTGAGAAGTCAGGCCTGTCAGACCTTTGGCACCTGGGTTCACACACAGCCAGTCTCTTCTGCCAGGATCCCATTCATGGATTAGAATGCAAGGTACCTGAAGGCATCCTCCTACTTCCCTGTGCATCCTGTGGCTAAGAGACTTTCACCTACTCAGCATTTTTTCAAAATGATTGCTGCCTTTATTTTTTCCCATTGATTTAAGACCTGATTATTGAGTTTCCTAATATACCCACTATTTTCAAATTCAGCCAACTGCACAAATACGTCACATGTCAGACACTCAACTAGTCACAGAGGACAATAAAAGCACCTGCAGTGTGACTCCCTGGAGCACCACATTTCTTTAACAAAGTATAAAGTTATTTTACTGCAGTTCTAATTCCTTTTTCTTTCTGCAAAGTAAATATCCTGAATCCATCTCTGTTTTGTGAGTATCAAACCATAAATAATTTAGCTCATACTTTTGGAGACAAGGGAGAAAAAAATAGGATGCATTTTTGCCACTTTCCTCTAAGACACATTTAGCATCAAAATTAAACAACCTACATCACACTTTACTACTCTTTATTTAGGGAAAATGAAGACTGAACAACATAAAATAGGGATTTCAATAAGAGTGGAGATGTAAGAAACTAGAAATAAAAACAAATTTAAACAACAGCAAATGCAAAATGCCTTCACTAGCTCTTCGTTTGGAAGAGCCTCTCACTGCACCAACAGTTAAGGAGAACTCTGGCTAAGGGAAGGTTTGGCCTGCTGGCTGGTGAGGGACTCACAACCATGGAGAGGGACTGAAGGTGGGAGGATGGCCTTGAACCAGCAGGCATTCCCACAGCTCTGTGTCTGGCATCCACTGACTGAGCAGGCAGTGATTTGTGTATTAAAGGTACATGTGAAGTTAAAAGGGAGGGGGAGTTTGCTGCAGGCAGTCAGCAAATTAACTTTCTTAAATGTGCACACTGATCACATCATAGGAAGCCAAATCTCACAGACCCTGGGTCCCCTGCAGTCCTAGAGATGCCCCCAGTCCTGGGCCTCCAGGGTTCCCTGGGGCACTCATAAAATTCTGGGACTGTTGGTTGCAAGTCCAATTCCTGAGCAGAAGCCAGAGCCAGACACACCAGGACAGGCATGCACTGAAGGCAAGTCTGAGGAACAATCAGCTTATCACCTGTGAAAGTCTCTGAAGAGGAGAAATGACCTGGGGAGCTAATATTTGCACATAGTTATGAGAAGTGAAGGACAGCAGCAGTGAAAACCGAAAAGTCACTGAGCAAGGTGCTCACTTGACATTAATCACTGCTCAGCCAGGAGGCAGAGAGGAAGCACAAGCTCGGCACACATGGCTGCCTGGGGAGGAGAGCCCAGGTCCTTGTCCTCTCTTGCCCAGGCTACACAGAGAAATTGTTCACAGTACCTCTGGACACATGGGGTGGAGGGGGGCCATTCCAGGCAGGCTTCAGCTACACCCATAGAGAGGTGAAGAAATCCTTAGATTGGGTTCATTTACATTACACTTTAAGCACACAAAGATCCAACAAGCACAGTGCAAGTTGAGGGACTTGCTTGATGCAGGGTAAGTGGATGCAGTCTGTTCCCTAACCCAGCCCTCTAACTCCAACTTTGGAATTCTAATGACACAGGAACCACACAGGATGCTGGTCAGAGAAGTAGATGGTGAAGTAAATGCACTAGTGCCTACAATGGGAGGCCACCTTATACACAAAGGATTTCCCGTGAGGTGAATCTGACCAGCAGGAGCCACCACAGCAAGATGGAAGCAAGGTGTGTAGGTCTTCTGATGAAAACCCCATGTGTTTCAGTTATCTAAAACTTTACACAAGTGTCTGGACTCCAGGCATCCTCAAAGCAAGGGTGGCACTTAATATGTTACCCAATTCTGGTACACCTTCTTCTTTGAAAAGGTTGCTTTAAAATTTCAGTCAGATTCATGTGTGCACCTGTATGAAAAAGAACAGTACAGACTTAAAATGAAACAATCCCCTCACTCTGCCAAAGGCAACCTTTTTGAAATCTTTTAATGCATTATTTTAGTTTAACCTCATGTTTTAATTTTATATATCTATTGCTATTTTTTGAATTATTAATGTTAGGCATTATTCACTTTCTGCTGTAATAGATGAGCTTGGAGCTCACACTATTTCACACCTCCTCTCAAGCATTTATTTTTAGTTCTTCTGTTATTTATGTATCTTTGGAAGGTTTTATATGTGTGTTTAATATGCATATATTGTAATATAAGTATATACTTGTAAAGTATTAAGTACAAACCTTTTATAAAGGAAGGCAATTAAAAATCATAAGAATATAAGAAATCTGTATAAGAAACACAATCTTTGAATACTACCTTGCTGTGCAGTAGATAATATTTATATAGAAAAATAATTTCAATATACATTTTTTGTACCAGGGATTGAACTTGGGACCTTGCTCTTGAGAGGCAAGAGGCAGAACCATTGAGCTAAATCCCTGGCTCTATCATATATTTATTTCAACTTAAGTTATTATTCTATAACAATCAATAGTCAAAATGATGGCTATGAAACAGAACACAAATATTATTAACCTTGATGAGATAAAAATAAAATTACAAAAGACAGAAAGAACAGCATGGAAGAACAGAGGAAAATTGAAGGGGAAGGCCACTTCTCACTATACCGTGGGAAAAAAGAGGATGTGCTTTCCTTTAACCAGAAAATAATAAAGGGGTATGTGTGTACCTGTGCACACACACATAAATGTGATACATGTTACCTTTGTAATTGTAAAATATCTTTCTTGCTCTTTGTAGTTCTCTTTCTGTATAGTTAAAGGTAAAAAAGTACACAAACTAAAAGTACAGTTATGTTGAGAGGATGTGTAGAGTGGTATGTGCTGAAATCTCATCAATTCTAGCAGAAAGTCATGGGATAATGTCTGAAACTGTGAAGTCAGGAAATAGCAATAGAGATATAGAATTAAATGCTCAAAGGTTAAATTGAGAAGGAGATGCTTTTGCCCTGTGAGTGGGGGAAGTTGGTGCACTTCTTCCTTTGGTACTGTTCTCTTCACTGCCAGTCAGGCAATCTTTTTTTTTTTTTTAATTCTTCTATTGGTACATTGAAGGTATACAACACAATTACATTTCTCATTGGGAAATGTACCTTTACATAATGCATCTTGGTTCTTATTTTTTCCCCATTCCTAGCCTTGCCTTCACCCTCTTCACCCTTCCCTATTTACAAAGACTTTATTTCCATTTTTTCCATTTCTCA